TTGAAGACTGTGTGTGTGCTCATTATAAGAGATTGATGAGATTGTACTTTTGGCATTGGTATAACTAATTCTAACCCCGAGTCTAACTGAACTTTGGTATCTCCGAATGCCGCAGGCATGGGCTTTAAATTCTCACATCACTTACATTTCCCCCAGGTCTCAGTTGTTTCTTACCTGACAGGTTTGTTTAGACTCAATCTTTGGAGTGCGTGATTGTGTGTGTTCACACGTGTATGTTCAAGTGTGTGAGTCAGCCTGAGGCTTAGCATCCAGCAGTGGCAGGTGACAGTCCAGTCTAGTGTCAAGAGGCTTTGGGGTGACAGGAGTGATTCTATTCTGGAGAAAAACCACACAACAAGCCAAACAAGTCAGATAACAACAGCTAAACTCTTGATAACATAAGCTGCTTTCTAATGGTCTCATCTTCAGTTTCCCTAATTCTAACAGAATGATTGATTAAGTTATTAGTTCACTGTATTGGTTGGCTTGTTATTATGCTTATTTGATTTGTTATCAACTGTTTTTTGTTTTCAAGTTACTATAGCTTGGTCATGCTTTATAACATCTGAATTCCTATTTACAGATTTCTGGTCTGTTCTTTAATGGGAAACACGTATTTCACTTGCTTTTTGTTGTTTTTGCCCTTGTTTCTCTCATTTGATTTAAGTCTGGCTTCTAAATAAGTTTACTACACTCAACCAAGATCTATATCAAGTATCTTCTGAGAAAATGTACCTCTATAAACCAAGTTTACTGCTTTCCTTATCTTGCTCCTACAATACCAAGGGTCTGTAAGATAATATCTCTGAGCCAAGGCCAGAGAAGCTGTAGCTGGCCAAATAATTCACTGTTACACATCACCTGCTACTGAAGGTATTAAAGCAGCGTGTGTCTCTGCCCATACATGTAGAATAGAATAGATAGAATGTCAGATCTCTGCAAGCAAAAAATGTTTTAAAGAATTTTCTATGAGAAAGAAGATCACACACCAGGACTGAAAAAAGCTTTCAGAGGTAATTCATACAGACTACATTGATGATGGTTTGCTTGTGTGATATCATAGCACTGGTAAGCATCCTGCACAGTTGATGTATCCCATGTCCATGGACAGATTTCTGAGGATCTTCAGGGAGAGAGAGAATTGGCCCTTGTGCAGCATAGGAAGGTCAGTCTACCGCAAGGGGAGCTTCAGATTAATGACCAGGGGCGGCGACTCTCTGCAGGCCTTCATGCATCATGTCCCATTCACCGCCAAACATGTCAGGGAGCGCTCCCACTGGGAATTTCGGGGATATTTACGGAGCTTTTCCATCACTTTTGCCTCCTGCCTATTGGCTCCGAGCACCAATGCTGAAATACGGAGGGAGACAGAAACAGGCCACGGTGTTGGGGTGTGTTGGGTGGAGGTCTTAAAGCCTAACTGAGTGACTTCACTACCTGGGCCACTTGCCCTAGCGACGGGGTTGCTCTCTGGTTGCCATGGCACCCACCCTACAGCCCACCACCATCCTGCAGCTGCACTGCTGGTCATTAGTCACAGAGACAGGCCGTATGCACTATCACAACGCCCGTCCTCCACCAATCAGCTGCACAGATTCCAAAACTGCCGATGCCTCTCAGCCATAGCATAGACGCATGAGTCACCATGGCAACATATCTGACTCTCATCTCCCAGTGTACAACAGCATCGTTGAGTAGAGAGAGCTAATTATATTTCCATTCATAGTTGAGTGAGTAACCCCTTTCTTTTAGTAGTAAATATACTCCTGTTAGTATTTACAGTGGACTGAAGTCACAGAAATATGGTGTTAGTTTTAATCTTTGTTCAGTGCAGCAAATGAGCCGTAGAATATGTTTACATTATGTTTAATCAAAAGTGATACACATTTTGATCACCATTCACAATTTAAAGGTTTGTCCATTACTATTATTCATGATGTATCCTTCAGAGGTGAACAGTTTCTATTAACAGGAACTAATTTCAAATTGAGCTAATTTCAGAAAATAAGCCAATGACCAAGTTATTTTATAACGTTCAATCTAAAATGCACTTGATTAACTGTGAACAAACATTAAAAGGGAGTCAAATTTACATAGAGGAGGCGCCCTCCCACACTGCCTTTTCATTTCCACTTTCAGCTCAGGCTCTCTCTCACACACATATACACACACACGCACGCACACACCAAGACACTCAGATCAGCAGGCCTGTTTTCTCGTCAGGGTGATTATCCAGCTCATAACTCACTCAGAGCTTTCATTTGCACTATAATTCACACCAGTCCCAATGATGGCGGCTCCATAATTCACACACACACACTGATTATCTCAGCCGTAACTCACACACCTGCAATCAGACGGACCCCAACGCCAAGTAGTGAGGACAGATAGATGATACAAGACCGATTGTTAGTAGACTTGAAGCAAGATAAATATACATTACACCAAATACCAGTGTGTTTTACAAAATGCAAAAAGTCCAGTTTGGGAAGAAATCTTGTGTCGGATTCTTCATTTAGTGTAAACAACAGCAGCGGATGTATCCCAAGGAAATCAAATCAAACAATAAACATTTTATTTTCTGCATGCTATTGTTTTGCAGCATAATGTAATGCTTCACATCCTCCTTGGAAATATGAAATGTAGCCCTTTGTGGAATTAATTTAATGTTTCTGCTCCTCTGTGTTCTCCAAAGTGTATGAATTCGTTTTTTTTTAAACCGGCATTTGCAAGGCATACCGTGTGCCAAAGAAATCGGATGAGCATAACTTAATACTTGTGTGCTTGTTGAACAGGCCAGTAGAGCTAAGGCTGCTCCCTCAGGGCAATAGAGTAATAATTATCTATTAGGTCAGACTGACATGATTCCAATCATCTTTAATGGTGATTCTCGGGTATTCATTCTTTTGAAGATTAATGTGCTATTTCAGTGAAATGAAATGCCACGAATAGCAACGAATAGCAGCATATTCACATTACATTGCTGTATAGCAGGAAGACTAACACATGAAAAGCTCATTATTTTAGCTCAGTCATTGACAGTGAATCACAAAACATGTTCTTTGCAGGTTTACACCGACCTCTCATCTCACATTGCGACATCCTTCTCACTCTTCCTCCATTTTACCTCCTTCAGTTCTCTGCCGGACTATATATAAAAGAAACACTATAAAATAAAGGAAGAACAACATATGGCTGTACAATGGTGACAGTGATAAAGCTCACTTCCCTAAGTTAATGACATCTTCTTTGCCCTCCTGCACTCCTTTTCTATCACTGCCTGCCATGGCCAGGCACTATTTATAGCTACTGTGTCTATTATTGTACAGCTCTTTCTCCACTCCTTTTAAAAAATGTGTCACTCTGTCTGTCTTTTTCTCTTCCATTTGCACTTTTCCCTCACTCTCTGTAATTGAATCGATAAACAGGCTTTAAACTTTTTTTTTTAGTTTTCAAGATTTCGTCAAACCAACTCTCTGTCCTCTGGGAGGACGAAAGCCGTGGATGGACTACTGAACCCTGCTCTTGACTCCGAGAGTGTTTTCTCAGAGCCGCTCTCACAACCTCCTTTCATCTCCCCCCACCCTCCCTCATCCATTCTCTTTTAAGTTGGATTTCTGTAAAGCTTTCTCACGATTTAGCTTTCGTAACGTGGGCTCGATTGTTTATTTTGGAAGTTGAAAGTAGTTGCTCTACTCTACAGCTGTTTTAGCTGTTTGACGTAGAAGTATTCTTTGTGAAACTTGAATATGCTACAGCATATTGCACCACCTACAACATCACCTCACTTCATACTAATGATGGATGTGTGAAAATAACCCCATTCAAATTAAATATGTCCCGGCTGACTGGTTTGTAGCCTAGATTTTTTAAATATTTTTTTTAAATGTAAATTGGATTGGAGTCAAATCTACTGAAGCATTTTTGGTGCTTGTTAAATGAAAACAGGTAAATAATGTCTGGACACCTTGAAATGCGACACGTTTATAGTGGGTCTGTTCGAACGTTGCTTCCCTTTTGTTTAGGATTCTGAACCACATTGATGGACCATCTGGAGCTTTAATTGTTTTTGTTCAGCTCAAAATAATTGACAAGTCTGAAGGGAGCCGTTTTAAGTTGACAACACCTTACTTTGCGGCGGTAATTATATTGTCTGGCTCGCACGGCATGGTGTAACAGCGTGTATTGTTTGTATTTTGTGTTGAGGCTTTTACTTTGTCAATTAATGTGCATCACAAGGTGTTATTCATATACATCCAAACGGTAACAAGATTTCTCAGGCAGGCACAGCATGAAACTCAGGAAGTTCTTCCATTAAAAAAACCAACAAAAGTAACATTTAACTATGATGCAGATATAATAATTTGATCTTGTGAGTGTAATCTAAAAATTTCCTGATGTTTTATTGCTGACTTGGTTGGCCTTCTCCTTCTGTGTCTCTGTTTGTCTGTTCTTGCATCTCTTTCTATACCACTTTAAATGCTGATTTCTTTCTTTATCCTCTTTGCTGCGATTTGTCAGCTTCCCACATTCCTGTTTTTCTTTGCTCTTCTCTCATTTGAGAATCACTGAAATCAATGGGACAAAATGGAAGAGTGAACCTTTCTGTCAAGGCTGAGTGAGGGAGTTAAAGAAGGGCACCCACCCCTGAACTCACCTCCCTATGTAACTAATTGCCTATAATTACACAGACGACTGCCACAGAATGCAAATCATATGAGATCCAATCGCCTAATCCGCACCGTTAATCAGTTTCATATCAGTATGTGACTGAGCTGTGTAAAGCTGTGAACGCAATAGCATTAATAATATGAGGCTGCAAATACTGAAGTGTTAAAAATGATAGCACTGCTTGGGCTGTAATTGCCTGCATCGTATCGATCTCTATTTGAATGTTACTTGTGTTAAGGAATCTATTGCAATTTGAGGAGGAGGAAGTGACTATTCAGAGGGTTCTCAGCTGATTTTAGTTTTCTTGTTTTGTTTTTCTTAACCCTCAGGAGGAATATTTGAATCCATTGAGAGCGGCCCCTCCGGAGCAGAGGAACTAGCCTTTAAATTTGCCTTGAACACAATCAACAGGAACCGCACCTTGCTCCCCAACACCACGCTGACCTATGACATCCAGAGAATAAACATCTTCGACAGCTTTGAGGCCTCCAGGAAAGGTGAGCTCGGTGGCATGGGAAGGTCTCCAATGCATTTAAGAAATGTATTCTTAAAGGTCCAGTGTGTTAACATTTGGAAGGATCTATTTGCAGAAATGGAATATAATATGCATAGATATTATTTCATTATTGTATAATCACCTGAAAATAAGAATTGTTGTGTTTTCGTTACCTTCGAATGAGCTAGGTCCTCTCTACAGAGGCCGCATGTTGAACCGCCATTTTTCAAAGATTGGAGACAAACACAGAAAGTCAGTTTAGACGATCATTGCGTCTGAAATTAATTCCTGTTTACTATATAGTGCACTGTGTTTGCTGTCTGTTAATTTATTTGAGTGTGAAATGTATGCACAATGCCGTATAGAGCTCTCAAGGATTAGTGGGCATGGCACAGACAGTACTTTCGATTCCCATATTGTAATGCGTAACATTTGATAGATCCAAATATTACAACAGCTCTACAGCTGTCGGTGATGGCACAGAATGGTGATGATTAATATGTGTCTGTAATCTCTATTTACTGCACACTATAGAGTAAATTATTCAGTGTTTATTTTGAAAGGAGTAGTGATTGAGGAAACGAGACAGTGATTTTGGACACAGTCACTGAAACACTCATTTCAAATACAGCCTATACTGTCAGAACATCCACAAAGGCTTGACAATATATTGTTATGATGGGCTGTTAGTTGACCCAACAGCTTACCAAGTTGAATGAAATGGAAAAACCCTTGCCAGTGTCCTTGCAGCAGATTGTTATTCACACTGAATGTACATTGTGGAGTTTTTTTGTAAATAAAGTTTCTGTTTACGTGTTAGTCACCAAAACTCAAATCATTGAGGTCTAGCAAAACTCTTGAATGCATTTCCCTTCTCATAAAACATTTACAAATCCACAACACAAAGCTGCATTTGTCTGGCACCAAACAAAAGGTTTTGTTTGCGAGGACACACATGCACACTGATTATCAGTTGATTATATATATATATATATATATATTATAGTGATAATCAAGCACCAGTTCTGGTTAGTTATTGTTTGTTTAGGGTGACATGTGTAGGGCAAAAACACCAAAAGAGCTCAACATAAAAATTCTTCCTCTGCTTCCTACCTCACCAGCATGTGATCAGCTTTCCCTCGGGGTGGCGGCCATTTTTGGCCCCTCACACAGCTCGTCAGCCAATGCGGTCCAGTCCATCTGCAATGCATTGGGAGTGCCCCACATCCAGACCAAGTGGAAGCACCAAGTGTCAGACAACAGGGACTCGTACTATGTCAGCCTGTACCCCGACTTCTCCTCCCTCAGTAGAGCCATCCTCGATCTGGTGCACTTCTTCAAATGGAGAACCGTCACGGTGGTGTACGACGACAGCACAGGTACAGGTACAGTTGGTGTCTGTCTTTATCTTCCAGTGGTGCTTTTGTTTTGCATGATGAGTGTGACATTGTATACAACCTGAAGTGTTTACACCCTAAAATGTCCAGGAAAACAAGAGGTACCAGGTGAACTACAAAAAGCAGCACTGCTGCTCAGAGTTCAGTGTGTGCTTTGTAACCTGTCAAGTTAATTCAGAAATCAATAGCTTACTGTTCTGCCTCAGTCCTGCAGGTGCTGCCCATGTCAGTCTTCCAGAAGAGTGAGCAGCAGCATAGAAAAAAAGAAAACCACATTACCCAGAATGACCCAATGTCTCTTCAGATTAATGCAATGCAGAATTGTAGTATGTGGGGGCTGACAACAGCCATTAATAACACACAGAGACACTTGATCTCTGAGGGTGGCTATCAAATGTGTCTGTGAGCCATTTCGTCTATGCTGTGACTTTGTGGAGTGGCTCGTAATATGCATTTTAAAACACGAGTCGTATTTTAGTCGGAGTGCAGTGATATTTTTATGAGGTAAAGTGTAATCGCTCCAGAGAAGATAACAATATTCAAATGCTCGTTCGCAATTTACGAGCTATTTGGCATGATGTGGTTGACAACTTAATGTAAGTAAATTAGATAGAGTTGAGAGGAGGTTTAAATTTGAGACAGGTTGCATTATGAATTCACTCCCCACTCTAGGCAAATGAACATCGTCTTAGTTGACATCCTAAATTGCACCACTAAATAGAAATTTAAACCCTTTTCTGTTCCTTTTAACAACTACCAGTAACAGTTTTACTGCTGTTTCACTTCCTCCAAATCTCTACTTTTACATCTGTTGCATCGATGTCAGTAAACAGCTAATCCTGCAGCATGCTAGCATCTGTACGTTAACCCCGGAATATATCCCAGTGACTCGTCCAACTTGTCACATAATTCAGACTCCTCTCCTTGACCTCTCGTCGCTTCCTGCCTCGGAGCTCAGTACGTTAACACCCTCATTCTCCAGCAAACTGCCCCAGTGAGATGCCAAAAGGTGACCTCTCGCCTCTCTCTCTCTCTGTCAGATAGGAGCAGCTCGAGCTTCCACTGTGGAGCATTTCTGCTGTAACACACCTGACGCCCTGAAAAGTGTGACAGCTGCATAACCGCGTTGCTTCCCCCCACCGCTCCCACCTGGTCCCAGGCTGTAATCACACAGCTTCATGCTCTAGGGCCCCGCAATGCTGATTGGAGCCTATCTGACGGCTGGCAGGAAAAACTATCAGAGGGGATAAAATATTCACGCACAGCCGTTAGAAGATCCAGGGGGAAAGTCTGAAGGCATTAGCTAGAGCCCACAAACATCTACACTGACAGTGTTTCCCAAACGATGAGCTCCCTTGACAGATTCTTTTTTCTTGCTTAACACCTCCCAAAGTGTCAGTACGAACAAAAACAAGGAGACGCAGACATGCCCTAGAGTAGGGATCTATTGGGATTACCTGGGGAAAGCTCTGGGAGGTTCGGTAGTCCTCCCTACAATGTTTCTTTTCACAACAAGACCTGCATGTTCCTATTTCACACCAATCTTTCTATAGGCTTCAGGGAGACCCAGTCCCACTCACAGTAAGACCATTAAACTGCTCACCCAGCACTTCATTTCAAAATAAAAAATAGGCTGAGCTATCTTAAAGTGGTTCCACTGGAAAAAAAAAAAAATCCTATCTCTCTCCAGTTCCCTCTCAAACTATCCTCGCTGCTCCATCCATTTTTATACCCATGACAAGTAATCATCTCTCCCATCAATCCTGCCTCTTTCATCCCTGCACTCTGAAGTTCTTTACTGAGGGAGAAACTCATTGTAATCTCATCACAGTATCTCCCGGAGAGCTTTCTACCTGAGCGTGTGGTCGAGAAATGAAAGGTGAAGATTGTAGCTCAATATGTGATGGCGGCATCAGGCTCCCTAGGGGCAAGTACAAGCTGGGCAAACAGAGGCTCTCTCATCAGAGCACATCTGAAGTGTGTGTGAGAGAGACAGGAGAGGCAGGATTGACCACGGCTTTCCATCAGTTTAAAATTGAACCTATTCCGTGTTACTGTATGGCATCATGGAAGACGAGGTGTCTCAAAATTTGGGAGGCTTCTGTGGGATTGGAAGTTTCTGTAGGCGGGTGCAGATCGAGGTTCTTTCCATTTTGTGCTTTTGGTACAAAAGAGTGCAATGTGCTGGGTTGGTGTTAAATTCTCTTGATAGGTCTGTAGCAGTCTGTTTGCTTGCCAAGCATGAGTAGGAGGATCAATAGATTCTGGATTAGGAAGGCATGCATATGAGTCTTTTTCTGCTGAGAAAACCTGAATCCAGTTGGTTTTTGTGGCCTCCTCAGAATCAGAGATACTTCAAAATGGCAGGAGATCAAACACATTATGTTGCTGCATCTTTTGAAATTCCTCTTTCATGTTATATGTATCCTCTTTGTCTGCAGGTCTCATTCGACTGCAGGAGCTGATAAAGGCACCGTCACGATATAACATTCGTTTGAAGATCCGACAGCTGCCCACAGAGACCAAGGATGCCAAGCCACTTCTGAAGGAGATGAAGAAGGCAAAGGAGTTCCATGTCATCTTTGATTGTGGACATGAGATGGCTGCCTGGATCCTAAAACAGGTATGAGCTCAGCTTAATGAGCCATGTTAGTTGATTTGAGTCACTGCAAAAACTGAACCTGGGGGACTATTGACGGCGCTCCGAAGTGATAAATGTTAAATGAGTGGATACATGAATAATTATGAAATTTATAGTAATATGAAGAAATTGTGTAAAAAAATATAAATTAAACAGTAGTCTCTGAAATTATTAAACATGATTTGAAGTGACATGAAATAAAACCTGATGTGAAATAAAAGTGTCATTGGAATAAATGCCAATATGATACGAAAACAGACTTTTGAACTAGGGTCAATATTCATATGTTGAGTTTTAATCACCTCTGCTATTGTTTCACAAATTGTTGATTCATTTATATGTTTTACACAATTTATTCATATCATAATGTATTTCATAATATCTTCTTTATTTGTTTAAAATTGAATACTTTGGTGTTCCATACTCCTCACCTTTTAAGTTCAGCATGTGAACAGCACTTAGGTTTATGAAACAGTCTGCTACATTTGTGAATACAATTAGTAATTTTAAAAAGCATTTCCAGAATTGAATTAAATTGAATTAACTGCATTCCCAAAATGTTTTTTTTCTACTCATAGAAACACCGTCTCAGTACTCAATATATATAATATGGTTCATTCATTATGTATATATACATATTTAAAATAACAAGTTTATATGTGTTCCCACTCTCACTCTTCCTTTCTTTAAGCACTGATGCAAATGATTCAAATACCGTCTTTCTGCTCTGTTCATCTTTAATCTCTCAGTAGAATATTAGATCTCTACTACTGACCTGTCATAATGGATGCTCTCCATTGTACAATAAAGGTTTTTTAATTAGAAAGTCTAATTCTGCTCATAGGCATGTTAAATTCATTTAACAGAGGCACATTATTTATGAGAATGGTGGGGGTTCGTATTGAATTGAAGTCTTCTCAGAAGCACATCGCACTGCTTCATTTCTCTATATATTTGTTTATCTACGGAAAGCAACGAGAATTATTATTTATTGATGGTGAATACTTGGTAGGCACAACAAAACACATACTGTGTGTCAGCAGCTCAATTCACTGCCTCTCCATCTGCACTACTTCCTTGTATTCGTGATGACAACTCGTTTTCTCACTGTAAAGACCAGTAATAGTGTGCTCACAGAAAATAACAAGGACATGGGAACGTTTCATGTTTTTTTTTTTCACACAGAGAGAGCTGTGAAATAAACAGAATCACATCAGTACAACATGTGTGAAAATATATTTTCTTAAAAATCCTCTTTCCAAATGTGTCATTTGAGCATTTGTAAAAGAGCTATTACTCTCCTGTTATTCTTATTTTAACATAAATGTCTCCTTCAGGGCTCGGGTGGGTCGCAGATTAGATGACACCATCTCATTCTGTGTGTAATAATAATTCAATATATGGATCACCAACCCCACCTGGCCATCCTATTCAAATTGGTCTGGTCTCTTTTAATGTGAAACTTTTTTTTCTCTCGACTGCCTTCCTGGCCAGGGATGAGATGTTAGTGTCAAAGTGACTATACACGTTCAATAAAAGCAAAATAAAAAACGGAATGAAATGAATGGAGTAAAAGGCTTGTTAAGCTATTAATGTTTGATTTTTAGTTACTGTTCTTTTCTCCCTGTAGGCCCTGGCCATGGGTATGATGACAGAGTACTACCATTATATTTTTACTACCCTGGTGAGTATGCTGGTGCTTGTGTTTTTAATTTGATAAATGCAATTACATTAAATTTTTTGCTATCAACTTGTGTGTGCTTTGAATGGTTTTCATTTTCTGGGCTTATTACAGTGCAAACATTCACCTGTTTTTGCTTGTTGCAAAGCAAAAATACATCTGACTGCGTGTCTGATAGCAGTTTTTATTCTCTGAGAATAAAATTGAATATGACTCAACTGGGAACCAGATGAGGAAAAACATGCTATTATTTTCAGTTTGTGTGAAAGCTTGTGTGAACCTGAGCAACAATCTGAATTTGTGCTGATGGAAATAGATGGCCATGAAAGCTGACTCATTGTCAGGTAGTTGATTATAAATATATTCATTGCATTTTAAAGTATCAGTTATGAAACTTTGGTTTATTTTCCAAATTCCGCACCAACCCTTTCACCCCGCCTGGCTGTCCACAACCCTGAGTGTAGGAAACAAAAGCAGTTGGATGTATTTTACTCTGACTCTGGCAGCGATTGAAGTTCTGCAAAGTTCTTTGATCTAGCCACTACAAAGATTACTTGCTACGCTCCAGATGAACAGCAGCACATCTTCCCTGAGCCCAGAGAACAGAAGACTGAGAGCTCAGATAACAGCCCTGAGCAAATGAGACTGTCACCCATTTGGTCCATTATAGCCCTGACAAACAAATGGCATGCTGTGAAAGGCTGAGGGAAAGGTCAGAGAAAACTGACCTGAAAAAAACATTTTACAGTGCACAGGACATGTAAGTATCCCTTGCGTATCCACATAAGAACCTGGCTAGATGAAAGGGGAGTGAGTGACAGCAGGTATGTCATTGGGAAAGGAAAGAGAATAGTGATTATAGGCCTGTTTCAGTGGCATGCTGCTGCTTGTCGGGGTGGAAACATGCCTACTTTAACATCAGCCAGAGTTTGGCAGGTTGGAAGCCACTGTGCTGGCCAAAGCTGCTGTATACTGGTACTAAGCCATCCATGCTGATTTCGGAATAGGACAGCAAACATTGACCGTGGCACCCCCATTCTGCGTCCATCACCTGCTGTTGCTCTGTCAACTGTGTTGTTGCATCCCAGAGACATCTGCCTGGTGAGATGCCAGACATGCTGTACGCAGGACAATTGGGTTGTCCTTTCACTTCCACATGATAGATGGCAGTCCACCAAAAGCGTGCCTGTAACCTTGAAAGACTTGCCTTAATCAAGGCTACTGCCTCAGCATGAGATAGAATAACTCTCTAACTCGCTCTCACTTCTTTTACTCACCTGACTACTCTTAATTATTAAAGACAGAGAAAAGATGCACAGTATAGAGGTGTACAAGCAAAGATGAAAGAAAAAAAATATTTCTGCAGGTCAAACAAATCTAAATTTTCCTCTTTATGTATCCAGGACCTTTTTGCCCTCGACATGGAACCGTATCGTTATAGTGGAGTCAACATGACGGGGTTCCGCATTCTCAACACAGAAAATTCTCAGGTGTCGTCAATCATCGAGAAGTGGTCAATGGAGCGGCTACAAGCCCCACCCAAACCGGACTCGGGCCTGCTGGATGGATTCATGACGGTAGGCATAAACCTTTTTATGCTATTTACGTAATGCACACGTTATGCTGTGTACGCAAAAACAGGCTTATACTTCATCCCTGTGTGTCCAAATGACGAGATGAATTGGAAGCCATATGTAATGTAATGGCACATTTCAGGGCTTTATGCTGCAGGCACTTGTGTTCATATAGAATGATCTTTATGAAGCTATAGGTGACTGTAGATTGAAAAAAAAAAAAAAAATCAATGTTTTGAAATGTGCACTATTTTTAGAGGAGAATTAATAAACCAGTTGTCAATCTCAAGTTCCATGGTGCAGGGCTCCTGGGGGTGGGCACAGAACGCCCTCTGTGTGGAGCCTTTGGGTTGGTGCTCCTGGGTCTAAATACTCAGTAATGAGGCGGTGTGAATGGTAATAGCCGTTTATCTGCCCTCCTGCCTCTCACAACTCTCCTCTGGGAGCGTGGCCAAAATATGACAATCTGTCAGTGCTCATGCAGAGAGGGGGAACAAATTGGATGGAAATTATGGCCTTGGTTTTTTAGGATGGCTTCCAAAAAAGCAAGGGATAAGGTGATTTGAAAGTGAAAAAGGGAATGGAGCTCGTCATGGACATTCAAGGTCCCTCTCTGGGTCTGTTGTTGTAAACAGTCAATTTACTCCACCTCCCTCACAACACCTCCCTTGCAGACAAACACCTTTTTTTCCCCTTCTTTCAGCCAGCCTTTATTCTTCTCGACAGATTTAAGATCTGGTATCAGGAATCGGTGTAATGAAAGAGGACTCGTTACATAAAAGACTAAAGGACACACTGCATGGTGCCTATTCATATATTTTTCACAGCCTTAATTTGCGTTTACATGTGATGAGAAACGCGACAAATAAGCAGTTATAGAAATCAATGAGTTTTTTATTTACTTTCCTGAATAAAGCCATGTAAACATATCATAGTTTACTAGCATAGCTTATTATAATGTTTTGCCAGAAACATACAATACTCACTGCTGTAAATATAGAAATATCATATTTAATTTCCCTCAAACAACAGTTTGTGCATCTTTTTCCCCAAGCAAAGCAGTTGTATATTCGAAAAGATTAATGCAACGTACAAAGAGGTTAAATCACTTGAATTCTTTTCCCTCCACCGGAAATTAATGGATATTAGTGGAGAATGTTGAATTGATTAATTACATTGCATGAATCACTTTGTCAGATCCTATAGTACGTATTGACATATCTCACTGGACTAGAACCACCGTTAAATAATAAATATTATAATACGTCCAGAGGCTCATGCAAGCTTGATAAAGTACTTCATTAGAGTGCTCTATTTATAAATCCTGGGTCTAATGTATTTTATTCTTTAGAGTGTTCAACCCTAAGAGTAATCTTTATAATGAGTGAATGAAGAAATAGCAGAATGAATATAAAAACATTGTCATTTTAATGGTGTAATAAAGGCATTATGGAGAGCATTATTTTAAATAAATAACCTCTACCTACATTATACATGTATGGGTTAAAATAACATTTCTCTACATCTCAAATGTGGTAAATTAATTTATAGATTTGTCTGACATTTCTGTTACAGTGCTCTGGGCTGAGAAGCCACCTTGAAGGGTGTCATTAAATTAAAGCAAGGGAGGCTGTGGCAACCGGCGTTTGACCTTCCACCCCGACCCTCGCTGCAGGCTTTTATTTCCTCTCTCTCTCATACCGTCCTCTCATTCTCTGCAACACAGAAGCCTTGCTGGGCTCCGGGCATGTTTATACTCTGTGACCAGGCAACAGTTGTGTAGCAATGGTTACCAGGACAACGCTGTCCGTGTCACCTTGTGATTTCATGAAGGATTGATTGACTGAGATGGAAGGAGGAGGAGGATGAGGGTGAGGGGGATGGGGAAGGTGAGATGGTGGCAGCAGGAGGGAAGCTGATGAGGAAGAAGAGAATGGGCAGGAAAGATGGGGGTGGGAGTGTTACGAGCATTAAGAGGTGCATGCAATGTTTTCTCACGCCACTAGGCTCGCATTAATGCAGGGTAGTGTATAATCACAGTGACACTCTGTGCCTTGGGTGAGGCTGAGTGTTGTCTCAGGGAAGGATGCATAATGAGAAGTCCCTCCTTGGCCCAGGCAGGCTCACAGGCACAAACACACTCGGCCCCTGCCTCTTACCTCTGTTTGTCAGAGGTATCTCTGACAGGGAGGGATGAATAATAAGAGGAGAGATGCTAATTAGTCCAGTTCATTTGTGTGTGGACGTGCAAGTGTGGGTGATCTAGCTTGTCTATTTGTGTTGAGTCTTTAAACCATATCCCTAGAGTAATTTAAAGCTCAAATTGTTATAACCCTCCACAACCGATAGATAGATAGATAGATAGATAGATAGATAGATAGATAGATAGATAGATAGATAGATAGATAGATAGATAGATAGATAGATAGATAGATAGATAGATAGATATTTCATGTATAATCTGATTATTATTTTGTCCCGTCTGTGTATAATTATTGCTTGCAGCTAATGAGATATTTGGTTTTAATGCTCCGTTGTAATTTGAATTCTTTTAAATCCCCATTCGCAGAGCTAAGTATATACTTGGTTTTAATTGAGGCACAAAAAAAACAGTTTCCCAGTTGTACGCCTCACTGAGGCTTTAGGGCCAGATATTTTCTACATCTGCATCATTTCATTTATGTCTACATTTCAGTGAGCTATAATTACCACAACAGAGGGCTGGATGTTCTCCAGTGTCATCAACGCAATTGAAAATTCTGGTGTAATAGCTCCATAATAATGACTCTCTTATTAATAGAAAGCAGTTGTTTGGGTAATATGTATGACATGATGGGGCTAGTTCACATGAGACACAGTAAAAAGCATGTTAGTCTAACACAGGCTAAATACACTGGAAACACAACAAACGCTTTAAGATACTTAAGATCCTTCTAAACCAGTGAGGAAAATCCAATGTGAGCAAATGTGACTAATCAGCAGCTATTGCTGAGGTATCCTTGAGCAAGACACTTAACTTCAAATCAGCACAAGAACATGCATGCTCAGCAAACTTTCCCAGGATACTGTAAATAATTGCTAATGACAATAATTTCATAAAACAACAACGCAGCATTTGTCCCTAACACAGAACAATAAATTGCCTTTTCCCTCCCCCACTAGTTTTGGTTAGACACAGACATACAAATACTAATACTATACTATATCATTATAATATATGTAATGCTGTTAATGGTCTGCATTTTCAGGTATTCAACTTATTGGCATTGTGTAACTGCCTCCCTATATACTCATTAATGGCAGTCTGCCTTTCCCCCATGAGATACAAATTGCATAACAGGAAAAGATGCATGAATGCACCAGGTCCTATTTCACCAAATTTGCAACATGCAAGCTGTGATTTGCAGCACAAGATCATTTACAATCCTGTTAACTGGGACACATTTCACTAACAAAAACAAACTCTGTACCTGCGACCCCTGCAACTGCCCCCTGGATGTGATTCTTGAGACAAAATCCAGAGCATTGGTGCATTTTACTTTGGGTAAAAAACAATGTCAATATCATTCAATGACACAATGAATCTTCTCAGCCACAGTGTGTTTGGTAGTAGCACTGTGAACACATAAATGGATTGCTCGCCACTGAAGGTGTGTTTACTGTCCCCATCGGTCGTCATATTTAATTTTGAACTGAACACTGGGACCTGTATCATTAAATCACATTTGCCGTAACCACCAGATCAGCAAAGACTGAAATTATAACAGGTTTAATCTAATGATGGACATTTAGTGGTGGATGATTTGCTAATATGAGGATTAAAAATTGTAGTTCTTAATAAGAACTTCAGTATCAGTTGAGTATGCTTTTCACTTCTCAAATTAGGAATACTGTGTACAGAGGAAGGGAAACAGGGAGGGAGCAGTGTTGCAGAGAAATGTACAGGGGGATGGAAAGACTGGGAGAGAGGGGAAAAAACAGACATCTTGCTGCATTAACAAGAACTACTGGGAATAGAGTAGAAGCCACCCACACAGTAACAGAAAAGAAAAGAGGAACCTGCTAGGTGCCAACTACGCTCTGGTTAGAAGGTGTTTTACCATGCATGTTTACAGTACATACAAGTGTGTGTTTGTGCTGTACTGTATGTAACTGTGAAGCACGCTGAGCACATGAGACGTGAGATGTCTGATTCAGTTCCCAACATTTTGTGGCTTCTCCAAAGGGGAGGACTTGGCTCAGGTTTGGCCTCTACGGCAGGTTTGTTTGTTGTTGGGTAGCACATAGCTGCCTGGAATCTGACAATGGGAAGAAATACCAACACATGAATCCTTCTCCCAGTGAGCTTCATTCATACAACATTGCAACCAAATGAGGGTCCTCATTGTCGGTGTTGAGCCAAGTTTGGTGTTCCCCAGTCAATATTATATTGAATAGAGGGAATGTACTGTAATTGTGGCTGATATGAATCACTGCACAAATAAACATCACTGAAAAATTAGATTCATTATTTGGAGATTCATTTTATTTGTTCAAAGCTGACTTCGTGGCTTAAATAAGCTGTACAGTACAATGGAAGTACTTACATTAAAGATAGACAGATAGACAGATAGATATCAGGCTCCATAGGTGTATTGCAAACTACTCTGGTGCTTTGATGACACACCTTTTTTTGCAGCAATGTAGAAGAGCATGATGCTTAGATGTTGTATTTGATATAGGACGGACACAGCTAACAGACTTCACACAGGTTCACAGGTTGGTTGCGTCCATTACAGCAATGTGATCTCCCTCCCTCTGATCCCAGTTGGCAGAGGAGAGAGCCTTTTAAAGACAGCAACTGTGGAGAGCAGACACTCGATGCCCTGTGCCGGGCACCACCAGCTGGGCTTGGCACAGCATCAACATTATTAGCACCAGTGCTCCCTTGCTCCATAGAAGCCTTTTGTGAGTGAAAACAGGCAGTGGGAGAGAGATGAGGAGGGGGAATTTAAAAAAGAGAA